TATAGGAGTAAACAAAACAGACAGTCCACCGTCCCCCAACAAGGAGCCTACATGTAGTGAATTAATAAGATATTATACACATAAACACACTCACAGATCTTAAAAGCATCTTTTTAAAACTCCTTTTTTAGCCACTCACTTCACATATTAGATGAAGGAGACTGTGCTTTTATGCATGTAAAACCCCAGCTTAATATAACATTCCACCATTAGGAACCAAGCTGTGCAGTTATCTCACATATTTGAAAAACAGTTAAAAACTAGAAAGAAAACAGGCTTTCAAAGGAGCAAAAAATGCAGATGTTATAAATCCAACAACTCATTGGAAAGCTTCTTGGTCACTGGTAGAAGGAACATTGAGATGACTCTGTCCCTTTATTCTTAAAATGGGGAACTAGCACCCAGCCTGCTTCACTTGCAAGGGTGTTATGAAAACCTAATGAGGCAATACGAATGAACGCACACCCTGGCCTCTTCACACGCAGTCCTGAGACCTTGTCATTCATTCCGTACATATTCTCCACTTACATTGGGCCAGGCACTTGCCAGGCGCTAAGGATACAAAGATGACAGTACAGTGTCTGCTCTCCAAGAGCTTTGGATCTAGTAAAAGAAGTTGAAAGAATGTGTGGGTTGGGCCTCAACAGGGGCTCTGCGGGGTGCTGAGGGAGTGCGGGGAAAGCCTGGGATGAACAAGGCCATAAGGCCAAGCAGGGGTTGTCAGGTGGAAAAGAGGAGGGGGCATCTCAGTAAGGGAATGAACAATGTGTGTGAATGCCCTGAGACATGAGAACCCCAAGAAGTGGGTGTGGCTGAAGTGAAGTGAAGTCCATGGAAGGTTAAAAAGAACCACGCAGGAGCAGGAAGAATTCCTGCAAGGCCTGCCTTCTTGGAAGGGGGCAGGAGAGCTGAGTAGGAATTGGTAAGTCCTAGTCATAATAACTATTGGATAGAGTTCTTTTTTTTTTTTTTTTTTTGAGTTGGAGTCTCACTCTGTCGCCCAGACTGGAGTGCAGTGGCATGCTCCCGGCCACCGCAGCCTCGACCTTCTGGGCTCAGGCAATCCTTCCACCTCAGCCTTCCAAGTAGCTGGAACTACAGGCGCACGCTACCATGCCCGGTTAGTTTTTGATTTATTGTAGAGACGAGATCTTGCCAAGTTGCCCAGGTGGGTCTCGAACCCACGGGCTCAGGCAATCCACTCGCCTTGGCCTCCCAAAGTGCTGGGATTACAGGCTGAGCCACTGAGCCCAGCCTGGATAGAGTTCTTAATATGTTCTAGGCACTGCACTAGTTTTTTTTGTTGTTGTTTTTTTGAGTTGGAGTCTCACTCTGTCGCTCAGACTGGAGTGCAGTGGCCGCTCCCGGCCACCGCAGCCTCGACCTGCTGGGCTCCGGCGATCCTTCCGCCTCAGCCTTCCTAGTAGCCGGAATTACAGGCATGTGCTACCATTCCTGGCTGATTTTTTGATTTATTGTAGAGATGAGGTCCCGCTGCCCAGGTGGGTCCCGAACCCGCGGGCTCAGGCAATCCACTCACCTCAGCCTCCCAAAGGCGCAGGATTACAGGCTGAGCCACCGAACCTGGCTGCACTAGTTTTTTATCTACTATATGTCATTAATTTTTATAAGAACCCAATGGGGTACAGGTCTGATTATCCCCATTTCCCAGAAATAAGTCCAAAGAAGTAAAATAGCCCGCACCACGACACACCTAATAGTGCCAGAACAGGAATTTGAACCCAAGTTTTTCTGACTGCAAAAGCCGTGCTCTTTTCATTATATGGAAGAGTGTTTAAAGTATCATCCGTGATGCAGTATGGAAGATAGCAAAAGTACAGAGTCTGTTTTAGAAATATTTTCTTTCATAGTGGTTACAACAAAAGCTTTTGTGTGAAAACCTTGCTTATCTTATAGCCTTTCCTTTTAGCCAGATCTGATTTGGAGACGTCTGTTCAGAAGAGCATCAGGTTTGGTAAAATGGTTACAAATACAGGCTCCAAAGCCAGGCCGCCTTGTCAGATGCTGGCCCTGAAACTCCCTAGATTTGTGACTCTGGATTTCAGTTTCCTCATCTCCACACTGGCAGTAATGACAGAACTTACTTCAGAGGGTTGTTACGAGGTTTAAGCTCTTCTAACAGGTAAAGCTCTTCTAACTGTCTAACATGGTATTTACATCATATATATTAGGGACATTATTATTAACACTTACATTAGGGAAATTGAAGGACTGACTTCCTGTAACTAGCAGAAGAATGCCAAATTTTATTTTTAAGATTCATAAGCAGTATTGTGCATTAACCTCCAGATGTTTTATCCTTTAAAACAGGATGTTAATCTAGAGTTATAAAGAAGGATTTTCATCAGGTTCTCAGAGTTTATGACCCAAAAAAGTTAAGCAGGACTGCTTTATAAGGAGCATTAAGTTTTATTTTTTGAAAGGTCTTGATATTGTGGCATGCCTCATCAAATATGTAAAAGGAAATCCTGTCTATGAAATGATATCATGAGTCACATTTAGTAAGTGAACTTGTTGCAAAGTGATAGCTCGTCCTTTACACTTTTTTCTTTCCTTTATTTTAAGTAGGAACCTTTTCTGTAAGAAAGCAACATATTTTCTTTGGCCCATAATGCATAACCCTGAAAGTCAGGGCTACTTGGATTGTAGTTGCTCTAGTATTGTAACTAGCTTGGTGTAGTGCTTTCAGGAAGTCACTGTTGCTCTGAATTTATTTTTTACCATTCTCAGAATGAGGCATTTGAACAGATGACTCATTTAATGCCCCTTTGACCCTTTTCAGGTAAGAAAACTTTATTCCTTCTGTCCATGGATAGGTGCAAAATGGAATGCATAGAAATATAATCTTTGTGCTACATATCTCTTGTTGAACTGGCTTTAAAAATAATTTAATTTTGGCCAGATGTTGTGTCTCAAACCTGTAATCTCAGCACTTTGCTCAGTGGAGGCGAGAGGATTGCCTGAATTCAGGGGTTCTAGACCAGCCTGGGCAACTTGGTGAGACCTTGAATCTACAGTAACTCAAACGTGGTGGCACATGCCGGTGGTTCCAGCTACTTGGAAGGCTGAGGCAGAAGGATCGCCTGAGCCCAGCAGGTTGAGGCTACAGTGGCCATGATGTACCACTGCATTCCAGCCTGGGCAACAGAGTGAGACTCCTACTCAAAATAAATAAGTAGATAAATAAATAAATCATACATTCATAAATTAGCTGGGCCTGTTGCACACCTGTAATCCCAGCTACTCAGGAGGCTGAGGCGGAAGGGTCACCCAAGCCCAGGAAGTCGAGGCTTGCTGAACTTTGATCATACCACTACACTCTAGCTTAGGTGACAGAGTGAGATCCCAACTCAAAAAATAATAATAATAACAGTATTACATTCCTTTTGGCATTGTAGTAGTTCAATGAAGAACAAAACTGCTTCAAGTACAAAGCAGTTTGTTAAAGTGAAAGGGGTTCATCTGACATTGACTACCAAAGAATCATCTTCAGTTATTTATTTACTTCTCACTTTAAATCACAAGAATATCAAGTACCAAGAATGTCAAGCAATGATAAACTACAAATGACAATAAAAGCAGGATGAAGGAAATTTGGGAGCTCATGCCTGTAATCCCAGCACTTTGGGAGGCTGAGGCAGGAGGACTGTTTGAATCCAGGAGTTCAAGACCAACCTGGGAAACATTGTGAGACCTCATCTCTACAAAAAAATCAAAAGATTAGCCAGTTGTGGTACATGCCTGTAATCCCAGCTACTCGAGAGGCTGAGGCAGAAGGATTACCTGAGCCCCAAAGTGCAAGGCTACAGTGAGCTGTGACTGTGCCACTGTACTGCAGCCTGGGCAACAAAGTAAAACTCTGACTAAAAAAAAATATATTAGAAGTCAGGCCAGGAAGGGCCTGTAATTCCAGGACTTTGGGAGGCCAAGGTGAGCTCAGGAGTTCGAGACCAGTATGGGCAACATAGTGAGACCTTGTCTCTACAAAAATAAATTAAAAATAGCCAGGCATGGTGGTACATACCTGTAGTCCCAGCTACTCAAGAGGCTGAGATGGAAGGATTGCCATAGCGTAGAAAGTCAAGGCTGCAGTGAGCTATGATTGAGCTATTGCCCTCCAGCTGGGGCAACAGAGTAAGACTCCAACTCAAAAAAAAAAAAAAAGCACCTCATGCCTGTAATCCTAGCACTTTGGGAGGCTAAGGCGGGAGAATCGCTTGAGCCCAGGAGTTCAAGACCAGCCTGGGAGCATAGTAAGACTTCTTCTCTACAAAAAATACAAAAATTGGCTGGATGTGGCGGCATGCGCCTGTAGTCCCAGTTACTCGGGAGGCTTAGGTGAAAAGATTGCATGAGCCTAGGCGGTTGAGACTGTGATAAGCCAGGATCGCATGCATCACTGCTGAAAAGAAAGAAAGAGAGGGAAGGAAGAAGGGAGGAAGGAAGGAGAAGGGAGGGGAGGGGAGGAAAGGGGGTAGGGAAGAAGGGGGGAAGGGAGAGAGGGAATCAAAACCAGAGAAACAAAAAGAACATAGATTTGGCTCTTGGGTTTCTGGTCCTAGCATTTAAAGGGAGATTGTGGGGGTCTGATTTTCAAAGATAGGAAAAATAAACATTCCAGGAGAGAGAAAGATGTTCTTAGCACTTAGTCCTAAAAGAAATTGTACCATGGAATTGTATTAGGAAGAAGAATGTCTTTATAAATAATAAGCATGTAGTTGCAACAGCCTGAAAAGTCTAAAAATAATTTAGCATGTGGCTGTTACTTGCTAAAATCAAAATTAATATTCATTTCTGCCTGATATATAGCATGGATTAAAACTTAATTATCCTGTTTAGGAAAGCTGGTTAGTGGTTTAGAACTCTTCCCTTGATAAAAAAGTGTAGATATCCTTTCTATTTTGTTGTTATAGATTCAGGATTGCTAAACTTGGGTTTTGATCCATCTTACCCAATTTTGCTTTCTGTGTTGCACTTAGCCAAAAAAGAAGAACATGTCAGCCTACCAGGTGTTCTGTAAAGAGTATCGTGTGACCATTGTTGCTGACCATCCAGGAATAGGTAAGAACATTTCTAATCTTTTTTGTTTTCATTTTGTGTCTCTGAAGCGGTGCAGTCACTTGTCAGCAGGTGATTTCTACCTTATACCATTAGAGCACAAGTCTCATTTCTTTCTTCAGTTCTGCATATCACTGTAGGTTTTGCCTTTGTTTACCCATTCATAAAAGAGATGAGCTAGCCGGGCTCGGTGGCTCAGCCTGTAATCCCAGCACTTTGGGAGGCTGAGGTGAGAGGATTGCCTGAGCCCGCGGGTTCGAGACCCGCCTGGGCAACTTGGCGAGACCTCATCTCTGCAATAAATCAAAAATTAGCCGGGCATGGTAGCGCACGCCTGTAGTTCCAGCTACTTGGAAGGCTGAAGCGAAAGGATCACCAGAGCCTAGCATGTCGAGGCTGCGGTGGCCGGGAGCAGCCACTGCACTCCAGTCTGGGTGACAGAGTGAGACTCCAACTCAAAAAAAACCAAAAAACAAAAAAAAAAACCAAAAGAGATGAGCTTTCTAAGCTGGGAATTGGTAAGATGGGAAACAGTGTAAAATTAAATGTTGTAAAGCACAGTACATATATAAATGCACATAAAGCCGGGCTCGGTGGCTCAGCCTGTAATCCTGCGCTTTGGGAGGCTGAGATGAGGTGAGTGGATTGCCTGAGCCCACGGGTTCAAGACCTGCCTGGGCAACTTGACGAAACTTCATCTCTACAATAAATCAAAAATTAACCAGGCGTGGTAGTGTGCGCCTGTAGTTCCAGCTACTTGGAAGGCTGAGGTGGAAGGATCGCCGGAACCCAGCAGGTCAGGCTGCGGTGGCCGGGAGCAGCCGTTGCACTCCAGTCTGGGTGACAGAATGAGACTCCAACTCAAAATAAATAAATAAATGCACATAAATATACAGTTATTTATTTCCAAGATTCTACACTTTTTTTCTTTTAACTGTTCTTGAATATAGAATTATAGTGAGATGTCTTGTATTACATTGTCAAACAGATGCTCTTCATCTTACTGTGGGGTTACATCCTGATAAATCCATCAAAAATCGATAATATTGTAAATAAAAAATGCATTTAATATACCTAACCTATAGAACATTATAGCTTAGCTTAGCCAAACTTAGCCATGTTCAGAACACTTAGAGTTGGGCAAAATTATTTAACACAAAATGCATTTTATAATAAAGTGTTAAATATCTTACATAATTTATTGAGTACTGCACTTAAGTGAAAAATAGAATGTTTGCATGTATACGTATCACTTTCACACCATCATAAAGTTGAAAAATCCTAAGTCAAACCATCATAATTCGGAGATCATCTGTGTTTGTCTCTCTATTATCAGTAAGGTGAGAAAAATACTGTACCACAGATTGTAAACAAGTCACTTAACCTCTACAAATATCATTCACTTAATATGTAAAATAGCTGCCCTACCAGCTTCACAAGGTTGCTGCAAGGCGCACATGAAAGTACTTTATAAAGCATACAATTGGAAGGGTAACATTACACATCTGGAGAATTGCTTCTGAGCTGCTATAGGGAAATTCGTCTTTGGTTCTGGTCCCAGAAGTTTCGTGAAAGCCTAACATCTTTTATCAAACTCTACACAACTTATTTTCTTATCTTAAGCTTATAGACCTTGTATTATGGGATCAAATTAAAATACACCAGAAAGATGCTCAAGGAATAAATTCATAGAGTAGAGGTGTGAGGATTTGAACCTATCTCTTTTTTTTTTTCTTTGAGTTGGAGTCTCACTCTGTCGCCCAGACTGGAGTACAGTGGCCGCTCCCGGCCACCGCAGCCTCCACCTGCTGGGCTCCGGCGATCCTTCCGCCTCAGCTTTCCAAGTAGCTGGAACTACAGGCGCGCTCTACCACGCCCAGCTAATTTTTTGATTTATTGTAGAGATGAGGTCTTGCCAAGTTGCCCGGGCGGGTCTCGAACCCGTGGCCTCAGACAATCCACTCACCTCAGCCTCCCAAGGCATGGGATTACAGGCTGAGCCACCGAGCCCGGTGTGAACCTATCTCTTTACAATCAAAATATCCTCTTCCTTATAGAAAAAAATCAGAAGAAAAGTGATGGGGTTTGGTTTGGTTTTCTGTAAGAGTCTTGCCATATTTAAAGCTGATCTTCAAAACCCTGTTTCCAGTTTTTACTCTAATCAACTTTCTGTTTTGTTAATAGCTAACACTTTACTGTATTGGCTTTTTATTCTTTTATGCCAGATTTTGGAGAACTTAGTAAAAAACTAGCTGAGGTGTGGAAGCAATTGCCAGAAAAGGACAAACTAGTAAGTACGCTTTCTTATGAACATGTCTTTCATTGCTTTTGTCTTCCAAAATGTATGATTCTTCTAGAGACCATCCAAGCCAAACAATAATGAAAAAAATTACAAATTAGTAGAAGATGGGGAAGGGCACAGTGGCTCATGCCTATACTCCTAGTGCTTTGGGAGACTGAGGCAGGGAGATCGCTTGAGACCAGGAGTGCAAGGCTGCAGTAAGCTATGATTGTGCCACTGCATTCCAGCCTGGGCAACAGAGTGAGATCCTATCTCAAAAAAATAAAAATTTAAAGAAGAGAAAATGGTTTAGCAGAGGGCATTAACACTGTTAGTGTCAACTTACTCTACGTGAGGATTTGCTTTCTGTAGTGAGGCTATCTTCTAACCTTGTCTAATTTTTCCCAACAACGTTACATTTGAGCTAAAAGATGACCTTACTTGGACAGTGATTGAAGCATTAAAGGAAAATCTAAAGTCAGAGCCCTCTGCTGCAAATACCTAGTAGTCAACTGTAGTCTGAGAACTGAGGAAAGTCATCCACTTAGTAGTCGCTGCAAATAATAAAAACATGGGAATGCGCTTGCTAGGTAACCAGGTTCCAGGTAATCATTCTCATCAACCATTCCCAAATAACACACCTACTATCAAGAAGCTAAACAGGGCTCGGTGGCTCAGCCTGTAATCCCAGCGCTTTGGGAGGCTGAGGTGAGTGGATTGCCTGAGCCCATGGGTTCGAGACCCGCCTGGGCAACTTGACAAGACCTCATCTCTACAATAAATCAAAAATATTAGCCGGGTGTGGTAGTGCGCGCCTGTAGTTCCAGCTACTTGAAAGGCTGAGGCGGAAGGATCACTGGAGCCCAGCAGGTCGAGGCTGCAGTGACTGAGAACATGCCACTGCACTCCAGTCGGGGTGACAGAGTGAGACTCCAACTCAAAAAAAAAAAGAAGAAGCTAAAAGACTGATGCACAGCCATATCTGAATCATTCACACTTTCCAGGTAGATGATAGGAAGGTGGTATAGAACAAGAATTGCCATCTTGCTTTAATGTACAGCTCATCTAAATGAGAGACAGTTTACACCCAAATAGAGTATTCGTGATTGTTATTTCCCATGTCATTGTTGTTGGTATTGCCAACCAGCAGGTTCAAGGAGATAGCTAAACCACATGGACAGATGTTTATGATTTTACATTTCAACCTTAGAGTGATCCAAAAGCCAGTACTAAGATTTGCCATTAGCACACTGAGAAATGTTTCTAGTCCTCTACTAAGATATTAGCTGTCTAAAGCTGATTTAGTGCCCTCAGCTAAGTTAGTGATACGCCTCTATCTTGTCCCCCTCCACTGTTGCCTTTATTTTCTTCGTTTTCAATCACGACTGCTTCCCTTTTTACTTTTTTGTCCTTTTTAATTTAATTTATTGTGCACCGATGTGATTGCAGATTTGGAAGCAAAAAGCTCAATATCTGCAGCACAAACAGAACAAGGCAGAAGCTACAACTGTGAAAAGAAAAGCTTCCAGCTCAGAAGGTTCCATGAAAGTAAAAGGTAGTGACCACATCTCCTTCCTACTTTTAATTCTTATCTCTAAAACACAGTGGATTTTGCTTCCATACTAGGAAATTGAGAGAGCAGCTTATATTAGAAGCAGACCTTAATCCTCAGGTTTTATTACTGAATACTAGAGGCTGCAAAAAAAAAAGTTCAAATTTAGGAAATAAAAACCAAAGGTCAGCAAACTTTTTCTTGAAAGGTCCAGAGAGCAAATATTATAGGCCTTGTGTGCCCTATACATTTTCTGTCACATATTATTGTTTTTTCTACAACGCTTTATGAATGGAAAACCACTCTTAGCTTGCAGACCATATAAAAAGAGACCACGGGTTAGATTTTGCCCACAGGCCATAGTTTTGCAAATACCTTGTATAGTTCATAAAAAGGGAAAATCAGAAAGAATATTTTGGTGATGTTCAAGGCTGTCTCATCCCTCTATCCTCACTGCCTCATCCATCTATCCTTAGCTGCTTCTGCAGGAGTCGTGTCACCCCAAAAGAAGTCCCCACCCACCACCATGCTGTTTCCAGCCTCGCCAGCCAAAGCCCCTGAGACAGAGCCCATTGATGTTGCTGCTCATCTTCAGCTGCTGGGAGAATCCCTAAGCCTCATTGGACACCGCCTGCAGGAAACTGAGGTGAATACAACTATGATGCATCTTGACTCCAGTTGTTTATGGAATTTGGATTCATTCACTTGTTTTACTTGCATACATTGAGGAACTGCTTTATGCTAAATTATGCCAGGTGCTCAGTATGCAGTGATAAGAAGACATGATAACAGAAGTGTTTAAAGATTTGGGACCTACCTATTAGCTCTCAAAGTTTACATTAAACCATCCTATTGAAATAATGGTACAAAAAGAATTTAAAACATCCTGCAACTTATTTTTATTTTTTTAAGTGCAATAGAAAAGATGAGAACAAATTCCATAGCAGGTTTTGTTTTTGTTTTTGAAACGGTTTCACTCTGTTGCTGAGTTGGAGTGCAGTGGCATGATCACACATCCCCACAGTCTCAAACTCCTGGGCTCAAGCAGTCCTGCTTTAGCCTCCTGAGTAGCTTGGCCTACAGGCTTGCAACACTACACCCAGCTAATTTTTTTATTTTTTGTGGAGGCGAGGTCTTACTGGGTTTCCCAAGCTGGACTCAAACTTCTGGGCTGAAGCATTCGTCCTGCCTCAGACTCCCAAACTGCTGGAATTACAGGCATGAACCACCACTTCTGGCCCCCATAGCAGTTTTGATGTACTTCTAAGAGAGTTCGAATTTTTCTCTGCATTTCCAGCAAAGTTTTGGATATACTTTGTGTTCATCTGAATTAGATTGTATAGGGGATTAAGAGTTCCTCTGTTTTGAAAATAGGTAGCCGATGGGGAAGTTGAGGTTCCAAGCTCATCATTACTCTGCACTTGAATTATACAGTGCTGTATGCCCTAGGCAGATCTTTGTCCTTTTAAGCTTCAATTTCAAAATCACTTAACCTCAAAGCTGTCACGTTCCATTGCTATTACCATATTCGGTTTCTAACTGTATTCGCCTTACCTGACTCAGTAGGACAGTAATTCAGCTCTCCACCTGTTCATCTTTCCACCAGTCCTAATAAGATATTTCAGCAAAGAAATCAGTCTAAGCTACTAAAGCCATTTTTAAGCTAAGAAATCAGTAGAGGAATATAAAACTAATCACTTGCTTCTATGTGGAAACTGAATTACTATTCAACAAGTAAAATGCCAAAGGCCACAAGAGATGAAGCTGTATCTAAGTTTTTTGGCTGGTTTCTAAAAATGCAGCAGGTATGCACTTTCATGTAGGCAGTGTCTGGATGGATACAGGTATTTCCAGAATAAAATATTCTGTGATCCATATTTATTTTTTATATTTAATTACTCTTAAAGTTCCTAAAAAGTTAGAGGTAAAAATGGTTTGCTTTAGCTGGGCTCAGTGGCTCAGCCTGTAATCCCGCACCTTTGGGAGGCTGAGGTGAGTGGATTGCCTGAGCCCGCGGGTTCGAGACCCACCTGGGCAGTGAGACCTCATCTCTACAATAAATTAAAAAAATCAACCGGGCGTGGTAGCACATGCCTGTAATTCCGGCTACTTGGAAGGCTGAGGCGGAAGGATTGCCGGAACCTAGCAGGTCGAGGCTGCGGTGGCCGGGAGTGGCCACTGCACTCCAGTCTGGGCGACAGAGTGAGACTCCAACTCAAAAAAGATGGTTTGCTTTAAGCACCTTCTGGATTCCAGATTTTCCCAGATATTTCCATTTACTTTAGCAAATATTTGTTGAATATCTAGACATTACTCCACAAATTTGGGGAAATAGAAAAACTGAATAGCACCGTATTCCTATCATCAAGAAAGTTACAGCCTAATTAGAAAGATAGAATATATACATAATTAACAAATCGAAATATGCCAGCTTCTGTTAATAGTTACTATAAAGGCCAGGAATGGTGGCTCATGCCTGTAATCCCAACACTTTTGGAGGCGGAGGCAAGAGGATTACCTGAGCCCACAGATTCGAGACTATCCTGGGCAACAAGGTGAGACCACATCTCTACAATAAACCAAAAAATTAACTGGGCATGGTGGCGCACACCTGTAGTTCCAGCTACTTGGAAGGCTGAGATGAAAGATCTCCTGAACCCAGCAGGTTGAGACCATGGTGGCCGTGGGCTACAGAGTGAGACTTCAACTCAAAAAAAATAGTTGCTGTGAGACAGTTATACATACCAGAAAAGGGAAAGAATATTAAATAATTTATGAAAACATTCTGACCCAACCAAGCTGGCTGAGTAAGCCTTCAATAAATGTTAGCAATTAGTAATATTATTCCATTATTTTTGCCCTACACTTAATTATAGCTAATATTTTATGTTTGTCTTTGTAGATTCTTTAGTCAACTTGTTTTTTATAAGTATTATTGAATAGAACTCACACACTATAAAATTCCCTTTTTTTTTTTTTGAGTTGGAATCTCTCTCTGTCCCCCAGGCTGGAGTTCAGTGGCATGCTCATGGCCACCACAGCCTTGACCTGCTGGGCTCAGGCGATCTTTCTGCCTCAGCCTTCCAAGTAGTTGGAACTACAGGTGCATACCACCACGCCCAGCTAACTTTTTGATTTATTGTAGAGATGAGGTCTCGCCAAATTACCCAGTCGGGTCTCAAATCCATGGGCTTAGGCAGTCCTAGTCCTCTCACTTTGGCCTCCCAAAGTGCTGGGTTTATAGGCATGAGCCACTGCGCCCAGTCAGGTTTACCTTTTTTTTTTTAATTGTAGTCTCACTCTGTCGCCCAGACTGGAGTTGCAGTGGCCGCTTCCGGCCACCACAGCCTTGACCTGCTGGGCTCCGGCGATCCTTCCGC